TCCCTCTAACACGCTTCCTCTCTCTCTCTCCCTGTAACACGCTTCCTCTCTCTCTCTCCCTGTAACACGCTTTCTCTCTCTCTCTCCCTGTAACACGCTTCCTCTCTCTCTCTCCCTGTAACACGCTTTCTCTCTCTATCTCGCCCTGTAACACGCTTTCTCTCTCTCTATCTCTCTCTCTCTCTCCCTGTAACACACTTCCTATCTATCTCTCTCTCTCTATCTGTAGGTGACGCGCTCTCTGAGTGGATGCGTCCGTAACTTCAAGCTGAACAACCTTCCGCTGGACGACCTCTCTGCGGAGGAAGGCGTCGAGCCGTGCGCCGACAACGTCGAACCCGGAACCTTCTTCTCTATAGACGGCGGCCATCTTATCCTCTGTACGTAACACAGGGAGGAGGGGAGAAGGGGGAGGGGAGGAGGAACAATTGAACATCATTAACGTGACTTTTGCTCGCACGAAAATTCCTGTATTTGTTACTTCATTTAGTATTTAGGCCTATTATTTTATTTATTCCTGTGTTCGTTGTTTAATTTATTATTTATTATGTTTATTCCCGTACTTATTTATCATTATATTTATTCCTGTGTTCGTTATTTAATTTATTATTTATTATGTTTATTCTCGTACTTATTTATCATTATATTTATTCCTGTGTTCGTTATTTAATTTATTATTTATTATGTTTATTCCCGTGCTTATTTATCATTATATTTATTCCTGTGTTCGTTATTTAATTTATTATTTATTTTGTTTATTCCCGTACTTGTTTATCATTATATTAATTCGCGTTATTGCAGCCGACAACTTCAAGGTTGGGCTTGACCTTGACCTTCAGCTAGAGATTAAGCCGCGCAGCATGGACGGCATGATTATGTACGTTAGCGCCAGCACCAGCACGGACTTCCTCGCACTACAGCTAGTCAACGGTAACCTCACCTTCTCCGTCGACAACGGCGCCGGCATCATCAGCGCCACCTACAGTCCAGCCGAGGCAACAGGGCTCTGCGACGGAAGCTGGCACAGCGTGCAGGGTGCGTGAGCAAGGCGGCGGTCGCCATGGCGACNGACAGGGCTCTGCGACGGAAGCTGGCACAGCGTGCAGGGTGCGTGAGCAAGGCGGCGGTCGCCATGGCGACGCGTGCGAAGCTTCTGCTTAGTGGCTTGTGAGCTGGTGTGTGAGTGTGTCTGTGTTAGTGGGTGTGTGAGTGTGTCTGTGTGAGCGGGTGTGTGAGTGTGTCTGCGTGAGTGGGTGTGTGAGTGTGTCTGTGTGTGTGTCTCCATGAATGGGTGTGTGAGTGTCTGTGTGAGTGGGTGTGTGAGTGTGTCTGTGTGAGCGGGTGTGTGAGTGGGTGTGTGAGTGTGTCTGTGTGAGTGTGTCTGCGTGAGTGGGTGTGTGAGTGGGTGTGTGAGTGTGTCTGCGTGAGTNTTTCTGGTCTCTCTCTCCTGGTCCTCCCACATACTGTGTCTTTCTTGTCTCTCTCTCCCCGTCCTCCCACACAATGTGTCTTTCTGGTCTCTCTCTCCTGGTCCTCCCACATACTGTGTCTTTCTTGTCTCTCTCTCCCCGTCCTCCCACACAATGTGTCTTTCTGGTCTCTCTCTCCTGGTCCTCCCACATACTGTGTCTTTCTTGTCTCTCTCTCCCCGTCCTCCCACACAATGTGTCTTTCTGGTCTCTCTCTCCTGGTCCTCCCACATACTGTGTCTTTCTTGTCTCTCTCTCCCCGTCCTCCCACACAATGTGTCTTTCTGGTCTCTCTCTCCCAGTCCTCCCACATACTGTGTCCCCATGTCCTCACGTGTCTTGTATCTTCATCCTTCTCTGTGTCTCACGTCGAGCAGCGGCGGCATGAGGCCAGGCGGGGGGCGTTGGTAATCTGGACACCAGGGAGCAGCTCACACTCGGGTCCCTCCCCTGTATGATTGTCTCAAGGCGTTGCCCCTGCTGCCAGACGACCAACGTCCCCACCGGGCCCCCTCCTCCCCGCCGCGTAGCCGCTGGGCTGGCGACTAACATCCCTGCCAGGCCCCCCTCCCTGCCCCACCAGGTGCTATATATTTACATGCTTTTATGCATTTATTTTATCGTTTTTAAAACTGCAGTTGTGATTCGATTTTAATTCTGAGCGTCGCGTTTAAAATTTAGCGCCAACGAGTAGATTAGTGAAAAATTACGAAATAAATAAATTTCTTTGGCCTTGCTGCTAACAATGGTTTAGTCGTTGGCCATTTTGTAATCTTGCTTTTTAAAAGTAGCATCTAGTCCTGTATAGCAAACGAATTTTCGGATAGTTTCAATAAAAAAACTTGATTTTTTCGAACTCTAATACTACGCTGTAAAATGTGTCGTATTATATTTCAAATTGTTCGTTTCTCAAATCAAAAAGATGAAAATTTTGGTCTGATGTTTCCATCACCTGCTATAATATATGTGCAATATTAGTATTTACATTCGCTTTCAAACGTTTTTGGATGAAAAATAAATTGTGCTAAATTCTCTTCACTTGGTTTCTTATGTGTTTTTGTGTTTTGTTTGTGTGCGTCACATTGGCAAGTATGAGGGCGAAACAACATGCACGCACGCACGCACGCACGCTTGCTCATACACCACACACAATACACAACCAACAATACACTAAAGACAAGGGAAAGTTGTGTAATCTCAACAAATTCCTGGTACGGGGGAGGGGGAGAATGTCTCAACTCAGCCAGGCTGCCAGGGGTCAATGACAAGCGAGGGAGGGTGGTATGGAGCTCCCAGTGACGAGCGAGGGAGGGGGTATGGAGCTCCCAGTGACGAGCGAGGGAGGGTGGTATGGAGCTCCCAGTGACGAGCGAGGGAGGGGGGTATGGAGCTCCCAGTGACGTTCAATATTGCTTCCATGCGCGCGTGTAGTATTGTGTGTGTACTGACGTAGTGTTGTGTGTATTGCGTGTGTCTGGGAATTATTTGGGCATAGTGTAGTGTTTACCAGTGTAGATAAGAATGGCGTGGTTATACGGTGCTACGATGCGAGAGCTAGTGTGCCACAAGAGCGGTCACAGAGAGCGGACGTAGGTGGAGACGTAAGTAGGAGGACAGGGAGAGGACGTACGTAGAATACATAATAATGACAAAATTGTCATAATTAACCCCTGATGTAATGTATCTACATTTCCTTTACAGAGGGACTGCCTGGGGGGGGGCAATGAATGAATAATCATGAAATAAAATTTCCTCTAATGTTAAAGGAGAGTTGTAGGCGCGAACAGACGATTTATCACGGCGAGGCACAAGCGATGCACGCACGCACATACACGTACGCACACATACGCGCATCTCGCGATCTCTCATTACCTTTGCGCAGCTGTGAAAGCTAAGAACCTGGTGACGCTGAGCGTGGACGGAGTGTTTGTGAAGCCCGGCATCGGTCAGATCGGCATCTCGTCCGCTGACACCAACGACCCGCTCTACATCGGAGGCATCCCCGGTAGGTGGCGCCACCACGCGGCGGGCCGGGGTCGCACGCTCGCTGCCGAGCCGCGTACAATAACAGCTTAGTTGTCGTTATTATATATTGTTATTATATGGTTCTTGTTAGAGGTTATGAAGGTCCACAATGTAAATAGATGTGGATGAGTTACTCGTAATATTTTTCTAGGTTTTTTTTCTCGTTGGTAGTCATTCTAGTCGCGCGTTAAGTTGCACTGACGATTGCCAAAATAATAATGTATAATAATCTAAATTTTTTTAAACTATCAAAATCAAATGAATCGAGTTTGAATCTAGAATCGTTCGCGATCAACAGACGCGCGCCACTAACGCCACCTGGCGGTGTCTTGCAGATGCGCCGCTGCCGGGAGTGCTGACCCAGTCTCAGTTTGTCGGATGCATCCGGGACGTCTACTTCAACCAAAAGATCCGCAGTCTAGCAGACGCCAGCGAGCTCGTCGGCACGGTAACGCTCAACAGCTGCCCGACGACGTAAGACGGTAGACGACGTGGCAGAGGCAGCGCTGTTGCTACATGTTGTTATGTGTTTATTACTTCTTCTCCGTCATGTGTCTGTTGTTTTGTTCTTGTGTGTCCACACACAATGTGTCTTTCTGGTCTCTCTCTCCCCGTCCTCCCACACAATGTGTCTTTCTGGTCTCTCTCTCCCCGTCCTCCCACACAATGTGTCTTTCTGGTCTCTCTCTCCTC